CCCCCCCAGGAAAAAGATTTAAAGGGGCCATGCTCTCTAAACCCCAAAAGGGGTTACACTGTATATTAGTTTATTTAAAATTAACAGGAACTCCCTGAAGCACTAGACAAAAGCCAGTAGCTGAGAATAGTCTTGAAGCCTTAGGAATGGTGGAAACTGAAAGGGAGCAGGGACTGGTCCAATACATCGGGGGAGAGAAACACATTCGGCGTTTTAAAGGTTAGATTGTCACTCCTAACTCCCCCATTGTACAGAAACAGCCATAACTAAATGCTCAGAGCCCCAGTTCCCCACGTGCAGGCTCAGCAGCAGATGGGAAGAAGCACTGCAGTGCCTCGGTCTCGCCTTTCAGAAATAAAAGTGGCAAGCCACCTACCTCCCTGGGGGGCTGGATCTGGTCAGCCAGCTTCTCTCCTTGTCCGGCCACATCCTGGTCCTCTGATGTACCATCACCTTTTCTAGAATCCTCTGCAGCATGCACATTCACAGGTGATCCAATCTGCGGCCTCTCGGAGAAAGATAGCACATCAATTCAAGATGCTTGAAGAGCATGAGACACTGAACCAGGTGAGCCAAGGACAGGTGATGATCCACCCCACTCAGGGGCTGGAATGCAAACAAACTAAGGGAACTGGGCTTCCTAGAGCCAGCATTCACTGCATTAAAGCAAGAAGCTCTCTCTCAACCAAGTTCCACCCTCAGCCCCAGACAGCTGTCCTCTTTAGCTCATCCAAGCCAGAGTGAGCAACTCTGCTGAGCTCACTCCCCATTTATAGTCCCTTAGGTAGCAGTAATTCACTCCAGTTGAGCCCAGCCACACTCCCTTCATACTGGTAGAAGGGCTACTTTGCTAACATTGCACTGATGACAGGGATCAGTGGTAGCATCTCAGAGAGAAGTAACTCTCTCCCTGCTAGTCACCAATGGTAGAAAATTTTCAGTTTTAGGAATATGAGGTGCTTTGAGTAATGCTGGGACAGATTGTTCCAAGCTACGTTGGAAGTGTCTAATAAAAACAGAATAGTTCCAATGCTTTCTGTACTGTTTCTGTAAATAAAGAGGAGGCTAGAAAAAGACAGACGTGACTGTCGTTTCTGTAACTGAACTCCCTTGAGGATGCGACCTTAGACCCTAAAACAGGAAGAACCAAAAACTAACTAAATTCTCTTAAACTCATTTTTGCTGGAAGAAAGGGCATGTCCCACCACCAGTTTCCACTAAAAGAGTGGTTCAAATGAGCTGATTGTCAGGATACAGAGATAACCCCACTAGGTGGCTGAGCAAAAGAAAGTTTAAAAAAAAAAAAAAAAAAAAGAAGAGACCTTTTAAATATGTTTTTGTTACAAAACTTAACTGTTTATAGCAATCCTTTTAGAAGCCTGAATCAAACATTTGAATTTATGTACCAACATTTTCCACTACGTTTTCTTTTCAAATCAATAGGTGGGTGGCACAGACCAAGCTGGGGCTCAATCTCATTCTAGCACACATGCATGCTAAATAACCTGGTAGGTGGGTCCAACAGGTCAGGTTCACAGCCTTCCCCACAAGGTGCTGGGGCTGACTTTGAATTTTTTGGAAAAAAAAAAACAGCACTGAAGCTTTTGGATTTTGTGGAGTGGGTGAAAAGAGTTGCAGAAAATTTGTAAGCAGATTTAACAGAAGAAAGTAAGTCGGCTCCCCCTTCAAGCCTCTTTTTCATATTGCCCACCACCCTCTTCCCTTCAAAAAACCCTCAGGCCTTAAACAGATTTATCAGGAAACAGTCACATGGATTTAAAATTTAGGTTGGCATTTTACTTAATGCCCAACTAGTTTCTTTGAAGAAAATTAAATTCCATAATTACCTAGAGTATATGATAAAATCAGATTGAAGCAAAAGCCAACAACTGGGCTGCTGTACAGTCTCTCTGGATGAAATTGTAATTATGAAGGCAGCAGGAATCTCAGTCTCTCCTGTGCTGCAGATTTCATTAGCATCAAAGCCAGGATTACCTCGAGTTGTGGTTTTTGTGAGGGATTTTTAAAAGGAGGACACTAAACTGGTGAGACCCAAATTTTGACCTATTTAACTCATCTGTTTCTGAAAGTTTGTGCGTGTGTGTTGGGGGGGGGGGGGGAGAGGGAGAGTGTTTTTTGGGGATAGGAAAGGGAAGGTTAAGACAAAGCTTTCAACAGTTTTAGAGAAAAGCTGAATGTGTGCAACTCTAATGTTCACAAACACCCCAACAAAAGCCAGGATGCATGCAGCCAAATGCCCACCGGCAATCCTCCAATAATAAACCAAACAATTGATATTCAGAGTATAAATGTTACTGAAAAAGCAGCAGCAAAAAAAGCAGGTTTCCGGTCCAACTTCCTTGGGGATTAGATACAGTGAGAAATTTTTTAATTATTAAAAATATCCTTCAGCCAGAGCTCAGACAATTTCCTGTTGGAAGTTAGTTAGTTCTGTGATCCAAATAACCTGAGGTGAGTCATGGGTTATATTTTACTATTTTATAAGCATTAAAATAACCCCAAGTCAAGAGGAATAGCTCTTCCAATATCGTCTACAGTGTACAGAACCTGAAAACAGAAAGTTGAGGTCTCCAATGCCCTGGAGAGGAACAGCTGCCAGACACCGCTGATTGATACAGAAGGAGGTGGGGGAGAGACAGATTATCCTCTATTTCCCTGATGTTGAGGAACATTTAATGCGGGTCATCACACAAAGATCTTTTCCTACCTGCACTGTGAGGCCTCAGACACTGATGAGGCGACTGTCTGGGATGCAGATTCTGGTTTTGGGGCTGAATCTTCATTCTCTAGCAATGGGTGGAAGATGGAGAGAAGATGAAACAGCTTTTAACCTTTGAGAATGTGCAGACAATAAAGCAAAACTCTAGCTATCCAGAGTCACCGAGGTCATGCAGCCTTGGAGCCTAAAGCTGGGCCTGGCAACCTTCTGTGCCGTATGCTATCCCTCCCCCACAGCAGACAGAAAGTGTTTTTAATGCTTTCAATGGCCCTCAGTGGAGTGTTTGGGAAAAGATAACATTGATCCCTATGTCCTGTGTCAGAAACTATCAAAACAAATTTCTGTTCAGATGTAGGCTCCAGGTTTCCCCCTAGTTTCCAGAACCCAGGGCAAGCTCTGTCCCCACATGACTCCAGTGCATGCTCTACAGTCTTGCTGTCTGCTTCCATTACCCATAGAAGATCATTAATTGGGCACTGACAGGCTCCCAATTACACAGATTTTTAAAGTTGCGCATTACAGTAGGAATTCTCTTTTGTTTTTCATAGACGGAATTTGGTGCTAGTGAAAGACAGCAGATTAATAGCCCCATACATTAAAGGCCTCTGATCCACAGAGCAGAAACAGTCCAGGCAGCATACCCCATCGCCAATGTTCTGCAATCTGATCTAGAGAGACTGCTTTTAAAGATGAGAACAAAACTCTAGTCTAAGGCCCATTCCTCTCTTCTGCCAAGAACAAACAAGGGGACCAATTAGTACCAGGGTTGTGAGGTATTTGTTTTGTTGCTTTTAAAGGAAAGCATTTTTCCACCAAGAAATGGATTGAAACCCACTGTCCCAAGCTTATAATGTTTTGTTTGGGTATAGGATCCAAACAACTATTCATCTTTATGCTTATTAATTATCTGTTCTCTGATCATTTAGAAAAAAAGAGCATGATGTTAAGAGCCTTTTATTGGAAGATGCACTCATTAAAGTACATTATATTTGGGACCTGAATAAGCCTCTAAAAATCTGAGGAGTGACATGACTTGTGTAATGGAGAAAATTCTATTCACTCAAACTTTATAAATAGAGCAATAGACAAGGTTGATTTTATAATTTATTGCTCGTGCATTCCTATTCTGGCCCCCTAAGATTCTCCAAGGGAGAGTACCTAAAAGGAACTTCCTTGCGTACAAAGACTGTGTGAACAGCCTAGATCCCAATCGCTGGAAACAATACTTCATGCCCCTCCCCCGGCAACAGATTGGAGGGAACCTAGCAGATCTTTTATATCTGTCATTCTCATGATTCGACAACTGTTGAAGTTACTGCACAGCTAGAACGTCTCTTCTACCTGGTAACCAGTGTGAGAACATTTTACTGCCAAGGGCTAGAGAAAATATGGCCTGAAAAAGCAACAGCCAGCAAGACTGCATGTCATATGACTCAATTTGGCAGTGACGGATAAGCTAAATCAGGCAAGCCCCACGCTACTAAGTCTGGTTGTGGGGAGAAATGTTTCATCTGGTGACCTGACACAGGATTACAAAATGCTTCCCACAATCATGAACTAAAGAGATAAAGAAGTTTTTAGAAGGGGACATTAAAGGAGAATTAGACGAGGGAGAGTGCTAGACTGGGGAGAATAGGGACGTTCCGGAGAACTAGAGGGTGGTCATAGATATTACTGGGTTTAGATACTGTAGTAAACACCTTATGCAGAAATGCCTATAACAAAATAAAGCAAGACAAGGTGGGTGAGATAATATATTTTATTGGACCAACTTCTCTTGTTGAAAGAAACAAGCTTTTGAGCTTACACAGAACTCTTCTGAAGGTCTAAAGAAGAACTCTGTGTAAGCTCAAAAGCTTCTCTCTTTCCCCAATAAAAGTCGGTCCAATAAAAGATAGGACCTCACCCATCTTGTCTCTCATATATCCTGGGACCACCATGGCTAAAACACCATTGCATATAACAAAATAAAGAAGTTGAGACCAAGACAGCAGATAGGAAGGTGGCAGTGGAAAGAGAATGTTCCTCTCACACATATATAGTAATAAACCACCCACTTGACAGAGTCAGAGAGAAAACAAACGTCCCAAGGTTTGCTCTCAAAGATGCCATAGACATTCTCTGCCTGTGCTTCAAAGGAGAAATAAATTCTAGACTCACAGGCCCTTCAAACGGAGGCCCAGCATCCTACCCTCTTGAGGCGATACATGGGATGTGGTCAGCAGCTCTTACCACACTCAACTCCATAGTTGGTTAGGTACCACAATGGCAGGTGCCTTCGATTTCACATCAGGTATTAAACATTTTGCATGTCTACGGTGCATTTTAGAGGATACCACTGTGCTAAGCAAACATTTAATAAATCTCATAAGCCCAGGGGGAAAGGTCAGTATTACTAGCCACATTTTACAGATGAAAAAAAATGAGGCAAAGAGAGGGGAACTGGCTTGCTCAGGTTACGCAGTAAATCAGTGGCAAAAATGTAATTAGAATCTAGGAATCTCAAGTCTTAACCCTACACTAAACAATGCTGCTTTTTTAAAACCAAACAAAAACCAAACAAACTTAATTGGTTCCCTGTAATGAGCTGTATTGCTTTGTTAGTCTAAAGATTGTAGTGGAGTCTTTACTGGTGCCTGGAGACCAAAGTGCTAGGAACTTAAGCAAATCAAAGTTATTATTATCTCCCTTACATGAGGCAATGCTTACACCATAGTACATTTCTCTAAATATAAAGCAGCTGGTACACTAGGGAACAGAGAAACAACCCAGTACCCTGAGGGATAGAGGCTGTTGGAAACCAACTACTGATAAACAACTGTATCAATCAAGAGGCAAGTTAGGCTTGGTCTATGCTTAACAGTTATGTCAGCATTGGTACATCAGTGAGGGGTGTGGAAAAAACCCAACACATATGGGTTTGAACCCAACAAAAACCCCAAGTGTAGTTTCAGCTATGATGGAAAAGGGCTTCTGTCGACATAGACAATATCGTTCGGGGAGGTGTGTTCCTACACTGACAGAAAGACTCCTTCCATGGGCTGCGTCTATACTAGTGGGCTATGTCAGCATAGGATCTGTAGTGTAAACATATCCTAGGGGACTGTGCTGACATAGCTATACCATCACAGGCTAGGCTACGCAGTGTAGACATACCCAGACCTCAGAAGAAGCTTTGTTAACTTCTTCCCAAGGCCTCAGCCAACCCGGTTCTAAAGATGGGTACTGAAAACAGTGTGCTAGAAGGCTGGACGTAGCAGCTGCAGAAAGCTCTGATTTTGCAGCAATAGCATAACTAGAGTGAAAGCAGACTACCTTGTTACTAGCTGTATCGCTCCTAAATCCCCTTCGGAAGCGCCCACTCCCAGCCCACCCTCCCTATTACTGCTCCTTGCGGTGTAACAGGCACTGTACTTCCTTGGCTGCCTGGCAAGCACTACAGATACCACCCTGGGAGAGGGGAGAGCAGGCGAGATGGAGGGAGGAAAGGAACACCATCAACCCGCGGTGCTCTCGCGGGGAGGCGCTGCTGGGCTGCCACACCCCGTGCACACGAGTCCCAGCTTCACAGCGAAGGCTGCAAACCCACAGCTCAGCTGGTGTCCCTCAGCCGCGGCCTGCAGCACTGCCCCACAGCAGCTCCTCCAGCCCCCAACCCCAGCCCCCGAGCGCAGCGGCCAATACACCCGAGGGACCGGAGCGGGGAGCAGGAAGAGCCCGCGCCCCGGGGTCCAAGTGCGGGAGACGCGTCCCGGTGCCCCCCAGTACCTGGAGTCTCAGAAGGCGGAACAGGAGGTGAGCGGCGGCCCTGCGCGTCCCCCTCGGACACGGAGCAGCGGCGGCCTCCCGGCTCCCCAGCCGCGGGGGGCTCGAAGGAGGAGCCGGCGGCAGCCACCCGCACCTCCGACATGGGCAGCCGGCAAGGCGGGACGAGGCGGCGGAAAGATCCGAGGCTGTCAGCAGCGGCCAGAGGCGGAAACGGCGCCGGCGGAAAGAGCCGAGCCTGGGGCGGAAAGAGCCGAGGGCAGACCGCCTGGGCACCACGCGCCTATCGCCCCCCGGCCCGGGCCTTCCCTAGACCAGTTCCACGGCGCATGCCCAGCGGCGGAGCGGACTGCTCGGCACGGCGGCGCTTCAGTAACACCGGAGCCCGGCCTGGCGGGGAAGGAAATAGCTGCCAGACGCCCGGAAGTGGAGGTCGCCATGGAGACTGTTCCGACGCGTTGCTATGGCTCTATGGCGGGGCGTAGCCGCCCAAGATGGAGCAGATCCCGGAGGAGGAGGGGTCCGGGGGGCCAGGGCCTGAAACCGGATCGGAGACCGGGCCTCAGCCGGAGTCCGGGTCCGAGCAGGGGCCCGAAGAATCCGAGTCCCAGCCTGGCCCGGCCTGCCTCGCCTGGAGCCCCCTGGAGGTGGCTGAGTGGGTTCGGCAGCTGGGCTTCCCTCAGTACGAGGTGAGGGGCAGGGGCAAGGAGGGCGGGGCCGTGAGCTAGCGGGGCGCTGCGCGGCCAGCTGGGGGCTCGGAGAGGGGCGAGCTCGGACTGTTACTAACCCCACTCGCAGTGCCATCGCTTGGCGCTACCGGGCTGCGCAACCGCGGGCCCTCGCTGGAGAGAAATTCCCGCTTCCCTTGCTCCGCCTTGCGGCCTGGCAGCGCCCCTGAAGCTGGCATCAAGAGCACCCAGGCTCTCTGCGTTCTTGGAAAGCTCAGGGCAAGTTTCCAGCCCTGGTGGTGACGGAGAAGAGCTGGGAAGAGTAAAGCCAGCGTCCCCCAAAGGCTCAGAACCCAGAAGGGGGGAGAGCCATTATTTTTAAAGATCTCATTGCTTTTACGCCAGTCTCGTGATTGGGCAGCGGGGAGGCTGACAAATGTTGGTTTTTGAATGCTTGGGGTTGGCAGTACTGCTCACTGCTGTCTAGTGTTTCCATCTGATTTTCCTGCCAGGAGTGCTTTACAACTAACTGCATCACTGGCCGCAAACTCATCCACGTTAACTGCTCAAACCTGCCACAGATGGGCATAACGGACTTTGACCACATGAAGGTGAGTGCTACACACAGAGATGCCTTCCTCCATTAGGAGTGTAATTTCCCATCCCATCTCCAAGTGTTCATGTTTGTTCTCTGCCTACATCAAGATGTAACACTGCTCCAGCTCTGTTAATGATAATAGGAGGCTCTATACACTCATGCTCAATAGGACAACTAGAACCTGCCCAAGACCTGATGTTTGGATGGATGTGGTACACAGAATGCAACAATATTTTTCTCACAAGGACTGGGCACACTGTTTTGGCTGCAGTAAGAATCTTCCCGAAGCTTTATGTAAAACTCAAGATGAACCCTGACCCCAAACCTTTTATGAAGTTCAGAAAAGTTGTATTTTAAAAGAAAAATTATTTCCATGCTTTTATGCCCATCTGGTTTCCATCTAGGACCTGAGGCAGAAGGGCCACAAAGGAGAAAGAAAGCCTGTTGTGGCAGTACTTCCTGTGTGTGCACAAGTAGGAAACAACAGAAATCTTGCCCAAACACTTGTTTGTTTGACAATTACAACCCAGCTTTGGAGACATAGTGATTCTTCACTGCATTACACCGGTTTTGTGTGGTGTAATTCTTCTGAAGTCAATGGAAGTTCACTAGTGTAAAAGTGATGTAAGAGTGGAGAAGCAGGGTCAGGAAGTTTGGATCTGCACCTGCATTTCTGGGTGCTCAGTCAAACCTCCAGTGTTTTGCCCACCTTTGTCCTACCACTTAATGAAGAGATGTGTATATGGGGGGGGGGAAATGATCTACAAAATCCCATTTTTTAAAATCAACAAACTAGTCTTCACTAATTAAAACTGTACAAAAATCCCCATCTAAAGGATCCCCAAATCAGCTAATAAGGAAGGACCAGAAGGAATTTTTACTTGCTGCATTGGGGATGGACAGAGGCTTCACCTTATGCAGCCTCACATGAAATGTTCCATGGTTCAAGGTAGGGTCCATATAGCTCCCAAATGGTCAGAGCCTTTCTAGAGGGTTCTGAGCTTATATGGAGTGCGTAGGCATGGCCCAACGATAGGAATGTGTACTGATAATACTCAAAAGAGAACTTTGAGAGCTTTGAATGGAAGGTATCAGAGAACTGCAAATTGATGTTAAAGATTTTCAGCCTCCCTAACGAGATTCTGTTTGTGACAAATACTATAGAAACTGACGGAAGCATGGAATATTCAAACACTACTGTATTAATGTTATATGTATCTTCATGGGCTTGCTAGTGATTGTATTCCTGGCTAAATGGGTCAGACAAGGAATGCTTCCTGCAGGAACTAAAATCTCTGGCCAGGGAGGGGATGAAATTAATTCTACTCCCCAATACTGGAACAAGTCTTTTGAAGTTTCACAGTCTCCTCACTGTGCCCTCCTCCCCCCCAATAACACAGATTGGTTTGACCTGGTTCAAAAGGCCTAAAACAACAAAAGGACTTGAAACTGTATAAAATATAACTCTGGCCTAAAGAGAGGATCACTAACATGCTATCCAAGAATTGACAGGCATGTTGACTGTGTCCAAGAGAGACAGGCTCTGCTGTGGACCTGAAGTGGAAGGTAGATGACCACTTGCCAAGCCAGGCATGCATATAAGCTGTTTGTTGTTGACTTTTTCTGAAACACTTTTTTTCTGAATAAATGGTACATTGTTTTATGAAAGCTGGCTGGTCACTGAATAACCCTGTCATTGCTGCTGAGAGAGCAGAACTGAACTGAAGTAAGACCGACTGAGATGATCACAATGAATTGCAGGAGTCTGCAGCCTAAGACCCCCATCTGGAGGGAGCAAATCATGGGATTTCACCCCAAGAAAGGTGATTCCTAAGACCTATGTGGAGCGCCTCTGAGGAGGCCACAAGGGGTCCAGATGTGCAGTTAACTCAGAAACTCTGATACTACTATCCCCATTTCACAACTTTGAAATAGGGTTGTGAGAGAGGAAAGAAGTTGCCCGGAGTCATGTAGCAAGTCTGAGGTATCCTGTCTCTATCTTGTACATTAACCATCAGGCTCTTCTTTCCTCACTTTCAGTCCATGGCTGAGAAACTAGTATTGACTTAAATAATAACATTCAAGTGCTCCAGCAGGAGAAATGCAGTAAAAAGTTAACCTGGTAAAACATTAGCTACAATTGAATGTGACTATGTTTTCTGTATGCCCAACCAAAATACATTACCTAAACCAGCAGAGCCTTTAACAAAATAAGTTTTTTTAAGACACACATAGAATCATAGGACTGGAAGGGTCCTCAAGTGGTCATCTAGTCCAGTCCCCTGCACTCATGGCAGGACTAAGTATTATCTAGACCATCCCTACAGGTGTTTGTCTAACCTGCTTTTAAAAATCCCCAATGATGGAGATTCCACAATCTCCCTGGGCAGTTTATTTCAGTGCTTAACCACCCTGACAGTAGGAAGTTTTTCCAACCTAAACCCCCCTTGCTGCAATTTAAGCCCATTGCTTCTTGTCCTATCCTCAGAGGTTAAGGAGAATAATTTGTCTCCCTCCTCCTTGTAACAACCTTTTATGTATTTGAAAACTGTTATCATACCCTTCTAAGTCTTCTCTTCTCCAGACTAAACACAGCCAATAGGTCCTTCATAGGTCATGTTTTCTAGATCTTTAATCATTTTTGTTGCTCTTGTCTGGACTTTCTTCAGTTTGTCCACATCTTTCCTGAAATGTGGCACCCAGTACCGGACACAATGCTCCAGTTGAGGCCTAATCAGTGTGGAGTAGAGCAGAAGAATTACTTCATGTGGCTTTCTTATAACACTCCTGCTAATACAGCCCAGAATGATGTTTGCTTTTTTTGCAACAGTGTTACAATGTTGACTCATATGTAGCTTGTGATCCACTAGGACCCCCAGATCCCTTTCTGCAGTACTCCTTCCTAGGCACTCATTTCCGATTTTGTACGTGTGCAACTGATTGTTCCTTCCTAAGTGAAGTACTTTGCATTTGTTCTTATTGAATTTAATCCTATTTATTTCAGACCATTTCTCCAGGTCATTTTGAATTGTAATCCTATCCCCTAAAGTATTTGCAACCCCTCCCAGCTTGGTATCATCCACAAACTATATCAGTGTACCCTCTATGCTATTATCTAAATCATTGATGAAGATATTGCATAGAACTGGACCCAGAACTGATCCTTGCAGGACCCCACTTTATATGCCCCTCTGGCTTGACTGTGAGCCACTGATAACTACTCTCTGGGAATGGTTTTCCAATCAGTTATGCACCCACCTTATTGTATCTCCATCTAGGTTGTATTTCCCTAGTTTGTTTATGAGAAGGTCATGCAAGACACTATCAAAATCCTTACTTAAGTCAAGATATACCACATCTACCGCTTCCCCCTATTCACAGGGGTTGTGAACTGTCAAAGAAGGCTATTAGGTTGGTTTGACATGATTTGTTCTTGACAATTCCATGCTGACTGTCATTTGTCACCTTATTATCTTCTCGGGGTTTGCAACTTGATTGCTAAGTCACCCCATTCCCATTACTTACATAAAGCTGAGCCCCTAGCTGTCTTCCTTTTCAGGGGTCTTAACTGAGGTTTTTATATAATCAAGTGAATAGAAAACAGGACAGCGAGCCTGGACCTTGTGAGTTCTGGCTCTACCACTGACTCTGTGTAACCTTGAACAAGTTTCTTAACCCAGATTTTTCAAAAGTGGGTATTTAAACATAGACATTTAATTCCATATTGTTAGGCACATAAGTGACCTGGGTTCCATATATGCGCATTGTGAGCTGTAGCTGTTTAAATCATTCAGCACCTCTGAAAATCATGTAACTGATTTAGATGCCTAACTTTAAACACCTGAGTTTGAAAATTTGGGCAACAACCTCTCTTTACATCAGTTACCCACCTATAAAATGGGTAAAAT